TCAGCGAGCCGTATAAGACATCGACATTCGCGATGCTGCGAATAATACAGCCCTCGAGACAAATCCTGATGCACTTGAAGAACTTAATACACTTCTCTCAAAGGACGGTATCCAAGCCTTGGCACAGCAAGCGAGGAGTGCACCATACATGACAACATAAAAATCCTGTTCAGACGAGTCTGTAATTTCGCAGGGGCATGCATATAATGCATCCGATTTGCAATTGACAGTGATTGCGTGCATGTGGGACGGAGGCAGATGTTGCTTGATGTTGCGTACCTGTGCGTGTCATCGACATCCTAGATTTTGGAAATCAGGCAGATTCTTTATGAAGGCACGTGCACGTGTCGAAGCCCAGCCCGATGAAGAATTTGGAAGTTGGCTATCATCCAATCATCTAAGTTTGGGAAAGCCAACTAGAAGGCGAGTGACTTGCTAAGCCCAATTCTATTGCCTTCAAGATTGCAAGAAGTCTAGATTGATACCCGGACATTCCCATGTCGGGTATGCAATCTGACGTTATACAGGCAATATACCATTTTTGTTTCAAACCCTTGATAACGAGGCCAGAAGGTTTTCGTGAGACGCTGAAGAAGTAGAGACGGCTGGCTCCAGTAAGGATTGTTGTATATTTCATGAAAGTTGTATGTCTCTGTTTCGACCCGATCTTGGGCGGTCTTGACGTTTTCTCGCCCGTACTAACCAGCAGTATAGTTATGTGATTGCCCATGCTACCAGTGCCGATGAATGCAATCTGATTGACTTAGCGAGGGGAAAGTTTACCTTCTATAAATACAGGTTGCGCCGTAGTTAAGCATGCGAGGTATATGAATTGAATACAAGAAATCAAGCCATGAGATCCACGAGAATGGTGATAATGCCAAGTACTAAATCGCACCAACATGAGCTCATCGTTGAACACAAAAAAGAAAGATAAAATTACCGATTTCAATCCCAATAAGAGCAACGACAATCTGTTCAAGTCGTTCCGCATGCCTACTTGATACAGACTCCTTGAGAAGTTGGAGCATATCTTGAAGAACCTGTCCATGAAATCAGCGAATGAAGGCACGCCACATCAACCAAACTAGCCTCGACTCGTGTATTTAGGAGATTGATTCGCTGAGGGATCTCCAGATAACTCCGCGCAGCATCATACAACGGTTGGAGATCGGGAAAACTCTGAAAAGGTGTCAAAAATGCCGGCACTTGACGTGGACAACCCGGCTTACCCAGAATACTTCCTAGAACGAGGGCAGGGGTGAATTTAATGTACTCTAGACAGATATTTTCTTACCGGAGAGTCTAAGACAGAGCCTACAGAGTTAATATTAGTCCGTAATATGAACAACTCCCCAGTTTTGCGCATAATTTCTGGAGAGTATATGTTAGATGGTTTACAATGCGGCATCTTCTTGACCGACCTTTATGAGGTATCCCGATCTTGCCTGTCTCTGACAAGGTTTCGGGTATATCTTTCGTGTCTTCGATGGTATTCGAGATAAGTTCCTCGAACTGAGCAGCCCTCAGAAAGAGATTATGCCGAATAATCGAGTCAGCGTACCAAGGATATCTTGACAGACTGAGACAGTGCGTGCGATAGGGAGAGCTTTGTCCTTGATGTGTTTAAGTATCATAGAGACTCCTTTTATGCTCGACTCACATGTAACCAGATCCCTTGCGCAAGGTGATGACATCATTGTATATCCTGTGTCATGAGTAAAAGCAGTAATATCGGCAAGTGACTAAACGTACCGACTGTAGTTTGCATAATAATAATTCAGATCCTCCATTTCAATGTCGTCTGGTGCTGCAAGCGATTTAGACTTCTGCAGTGAATATAAACGCCCTCACATACCCAATCTTTCAACTTCAAAACGCTTGCTACGAACAGTTCGTCGATGCTGATTGTAACAAATGAAGGTACTCACATGGAAGATAAGAAACGTTTCTCTTGGGCTTCACTCATTCCCCATATGACGACTGTTCCGTAAGCGAAAATGAAAATCTCTGCCTCGGTTGGAACAGTGTGAAATTTGCTAATCTTCTTGCGATTAGAGGTGAGCCCATGGTCTTCCGCTTCAGAGACAAGGGGATTTAGTTCAGGGATTCCTAACAAATCCCCACTCGCCGGCAGAGATTTCGCATTTGTTTCTTGGTTGACTTGGGGTTCATATGCGTAAGGAGTATACAAAACATCGTCGATAATCTTGGGGTCTGCAAGATAGGATGCCCTCCGGGCATTGAAAAACTTCGAAAGTTCATGCAGACGATAGGAACTAAATCGAGACAAAGCCTGTCAGTTACATAGTCAAGCAAGAAGCCAACAAAGAACTACCTTGCCGTCGCATATGCCGTTACACGAGGTAATGACTTCGCCTTTTTCTTTGTCAGCTTCAGTGCATCTCTTCGTGCCGTTCCCTGCGGAATTTGGGAAATTTGACGTAGTCGTATTTCGACATCCTCGTCTTCGTCCTCAATTGACTCGTCCTCGTCCTCATCATCCCCGTCATCCGTATCTCCTGTTGTGCCTAGACTTTCCTCAGCATCTGGACGTGGCAAATTTTTGCTTTGGGTAGACGATGTTGGTTGGTCTGGTAGGACCTTGAGTTTGCCAGCGACCTTCGTGGACCTGTTTGCACCGCGAGTTTTCGGCTCGGGCTCCTTAGAAACGCCTACTATAGATTTCGGTAAGAGCGGTTTTGTAGGCATGATGGGACTCGGATGTTATAACACTTTGAGAGTTCCTCTCTCAGTTGTTCCGGTTCGGACTTGCCAGTTCTCGTCGTCTCGTGGGCACCATGCGTACTGAGTGGGTCACATGACCGCTAGTCACGTTTTTCCTGCGGACACTGCCGCAGTCAGAAGTTTCAAAGACGTCAACACCCTTGGCAAGTACATAGCTCTGGCCACGCGAATTCCAATCGCGTCGACATGCTGTATCAGGGTGCATGAAGGTTTGAAGCTTGCGATTTACAAGGAAGTCATTTTTACTCCCACCCCTCCATCGTCTTCTCGGTCACCTGTTCAAGTTGCCCTGACATTCTACCTCGCCTATTATATATACTATGACAATGCAGGGCGAGCTGCAGCGAGCGTATATTTGTAAAACGCCGCTCAGGGTTTCCCTGGTTTTGTGGTATGTGATAGCATCATATGGTACTGAAAGCTTACCGAAACCTGCATCTCTGCAGGACTTGAACGCAGAACGTCAAACGCTCGTGCGTAGGCACCGCTGATATTGGTATACGACATGCAGAACAGCGCTATCGACTGCACTGCTCAGGCTCATCCGATTAGATCTCTCCCGCTAGCTAATATTAGTGTCATATTGCCAGTGTCATGCAACCTCGCCGGGCCCCAAGCTTCCAAACTCAGACCATCATAAGGATATAATTACCCATTTACATAAAGCTTAAAGCGTGGTAAATTGCAAGGTTTGTGCCTTTACGTTTACTTTATGCTTCAGCACTGGGGGAAGCCTCACGTCACGGTGAATAATAGCAGCGGGAGCCTCGCTAATCGGGGAACGCTCATTGGTGGAGGGAGCTATCTACCCCATGATGCCACTATGTGGCAATGTATAGCTAAATGACATACTATGGCAGTCAACTCATTCTCATTTCGCCAGCCTTCTTTGATTCAAGATCACGCAACAATCCCGAAGTCGTCGGATTGGAAGGAAGTTTCATCCTATGAGCTGGCTCCGCGGAGCCGTTTTGAACCGCAGGGTTTACTGCCGTACAGAAAACCCTCTTTTTTCTTCTGGTGTTGGAAGCAAGTAATTTTACCAACAATGCACCCTACACACAGGAAGTTACAACAACACTGTCATCATGTACCCTCACCATTTTTCAGGCCTAGGCATCCGATTCATCATTGATATTTTATTTCCCCGAACAATTATCCAGGTCTGCTTCCCCGACCTTTCAGTGTTCTTTATCAGGTACAACTGAATTCTATATACAGGATCTGTTCCGAGTTTGGTGACACATCCAAACCGGCCATTGGCGATAATCCCTCTCAAACGATTTGCAATGTCCCTACGTTCGAAGAAGGGTCATATTGCTAGTAGTATGGCTGAACGCAGGCGTGTGGAAGCACATGTACTGTGTCAAGAATCCTTTCAATCTCACACTTATCGCCATTGTCTAGGCATCTATCACGCGGACTCACCAGTTCTCTCCTTTGTACGAGGGGACAATGTGAGTCGCGCTGATTCGTCGGGAGTAAGACTTACCTAAAGCACATGTTCTATCTCAGGACTAACTTCAATACTCCCATTTTCCGTTAATACGCTCCAACTGAGCATACCTGCTCAAGCAACGAATAGATCCCTTAGCTCGGCCCGAGACGGCGATTAAGCATCAGCAGGGCAGTTGCCTACATATGACATTTCCGCGGAATAACCAGAAGAACGCCCCTGAACAGATTGCGCCAGCATTATTGTGGTGTGCTAACCCACTTTGAATGCCGTCACATCTGGACATTCAGTCTGACGCACCGAAACAATTCACAAGTGCCGCTATACTGAATACGGTCTGCATGCCATCACGCTTCAGGTGATGTTTATCACTTTACGGAACCGCAAACGGGAAGAATGATCAATTACATAACAGAGGAAGTGATGTTGTATTTCCGGGGTCAGCCTACACGGTGTGCATGGTACGTACCTAATAGGCTTGGCATTAAGGTCGAAGTACGTCCTGCGTGAGAGGAATATGTAATTTTTCTGCAGGCGGGGATATCTCGGTAACAATCCCCACCCACCAACAGCTGCCTACCTGAGACGAGACGTTCAGCATAACCCCTATCCCAGCTCAGCAACAATGACCCTTCGCGACGGAAAACATCTCACGGCCTCGATTCCTCCGCTGATCGTATTCACGTTCGATGATCGGCGTCTCGGATCAATTGGGTGTCAAAACGGTGTACATATTCACAGTTAAAAATAACAGACAACCAGGACTGCACCCACTGGTTCACTGCAGACATACATTAGCGTGGCGACGGGGTTTGACAAATTGAGAAGTGCACAAATTCCTGCGGTTACTATGCGGTACAAAGTACACTATCTACATATGAGTCCGAGGCTTACGCGCGAACTAGTACGAGTTCAACAGACAACACTTTGGATACAATACGAGCTCACCCTTATCAGAATGACAATAAGGTACCTGTGTGCGTTCGGCGTTAAGTAACAATATGTAAGTTTAACAAGATGTGAGGATTATAAATGTATAATTGACAAAGAAATGGCTTGTCCACGCCTGGAGGAGGAGGTATATTAAAATAAGTAGAAAAGGAAGTCGCAGAGCATCTCAAGATTAGATCGGCCTCAATGAATCATCAGGTATACGAGCACCTTATTGATTCGGGGTGTAAAGCAGAATGTCCCTTTGAAGAGGGGTGATTTCGGTCTCCTCCCTTCGAGACAAAACCTGGCGAGACCTGAGTTGAAAAACGCTGAAGAAATTGTTCATCAATAGGTTCGCGCCTTGGATATGCAAGCCCTTGGAGGTATTCGAGGGGTACTAGTTGTTCCGAGAGGTGGGAAGGACTAATTCGCGGACTTGGAGTGGCGGGTCCTGAGGATGATGATGAGGGTGGAGAAGGACATGCTGAGCGACTCTGGAAAGGCGCGGCATCACGAAACTGTGATTGCATCTGAGTAGAAATCACATTGGGAGCCGAATAAGCCGTCTGGCGGACGCTGGAAGAGTGATGCCTAGATGATCCTTCTGCGGGAAAAGGAAATGAATAGGCGGTCTTACGTCCGCTTGTGGCCTCTACTTCCAGCAGATCAAGCTGGGAGGAATTTCTTGAAGTGGGAAAATGTGTAAACGCGGTAAACGGTGAAGGATTTGAATTTGAAGCATGAAATGATGACTGAAACCCGGATTGAACCGGATTAATCTTGGGTAGTACGCCCTCCATGGGAAACTGTGGGAGTTGCTTTGCCAGGGCAGATTTTGGTAGGTCGTCGTCTCGTCTCGTCTTGGCATCTCTGCGAGCACTTCGGAACCATCCGTCTGGAACCGGGACATCACCAACCCCTGGTATATTATCGATTGTGTTAAGCCGATCAAGCTTCTGTTGACTGAAGTAGGCAGCTGATGAACGAAGGATGATTAGACTTCCGAGGCGGCGGAGATAGCTCAGAAACGTACTTAAGTGCCACTTCCTAGTGATACCTCGTGTGCGATCATCAGGTAACGAGACACGTACACTATAAGTCTGCTTGATCAAGCGTTCAGAGTCCCCTGTAGCACGTGCTCGCGAAGAAGGGTACATGCTGTGAAATAGGTAAAATTGTCGTTCCACGGCGTTTGGACTTTGGGCGCCCACATGATTGATGTGACCTACCTAATCATCTGGGCCCATGGAGTACCGGAGCTACCTGGATCATCATTCACATCACATTCTTTCTGCTGATAGAACAGAAATTCCTTGGGAAAACGTAAGTCCGGAAGAAACTTGACAATCGACAGGTACTCACATCGCGGACTCTACTTGGTCCCCAGCCCATGCCATCCGTCCTAGCAATATAAATAATATTGAATTGATACGCTTAGACCCCCAGTCACATGTGGACAGACCATCGTTCCATGCCGAGACCTGTAGCCTCAGAATTTGCACTGCGTTCCTCCCAAACATATACGTTTCCGGGAGCGATAGCCCTTCGTTCCTCAGCGTCCAATCGGCGCGTTGTAAGTGGGAGCGCATTCCTCGCAACAGCATGAAAGATGTAAAGCGCATCCCTTGTCGAGCGTATGCGAACATTTTGGAGGGAAGGTTGCTGCATATCTTGAGGACGAGGATATCAAGGGGGGAATGCCAAGTGGGTCTTAGGATCAACGGAACTTCACAGCACAGGTTATATATTCTTGGATTCGTAAGGGAACTGTGAACCACGGATAAAATTAAAATTATTCTAAGTTTGAATTGAGTTAACCCACATGCTGGATTTTGAAAAAGCGCCCTGTGATCGGACTCTTCAGATTCGACTTGAGAGTATTTCCGAGACGTGGGGACGCCGCTAACTACTCCACTAGCCAAATCCATAATGATAACGCAGCATAAAGTGCGAAGAACGTGGGTATAAGATTACAAGTTGCTCATCTCCCAATATGGCTGTTCCGGTGCGACGCAAGATACCGACCAAGTTGCCAGTGCACACAGAAACCTTACAGTACAGGTTGACTACAGGGTTGCTTTAATTTATCTAATGATTTGTCCTGATGCGGCTGACAACAACCGCTGCAGATGCGGGCTTTTGCAAAACCTTTATGCCCGGACACTAATAATTTTCTAGCATAACAGTCTAGTCGACATCAACTCCGCAATGTAAGTTACATTTCAAAGATATCTGATTCGTTCTGCATATAGTTCATTGATGGCTAGATGGCGCACATTCGCTAGAAGAGCCTGGGATTGGTCCATCAAAACCGGTTTCGCTTTAAAGTTGCAAAATCCTAACAAGGTTTGATTCAAGAACTGGACACTGCGGTGTGCTCACCATCATGATGACGGTATCCTATGATCATTGCGATTGGCGCCATGACATAGCAAAACTTTTCGACACAAGGACTTACCATTGTAGCTAAGCAATGTCGCCGCCCATGCGCATTTGAAAAGCCTCATCCAAAAGCCATGCAGGTAATCACCGTCCATGGATCTCATATCACTAGGGACCAACGGGCGGTTGTTTGAAACTGCATTTAGACGTGAGCGCAGCTCCAAGTGGCCATGCTGAATCTAGGAGGAACTCGGATAAAGCCTAATTCACTCGTATGACAAGTTCACTTCCTCCGAGTCATGCTGAACTTTAGCCCAGTCACATGTGCTCTAGCCAGCTCAATCTGGAATCGTATCTCTAACTTAGTAGGGGCCGGCAACGATGATCGACGGGCTTTTTGTCAACATACACTTTTAACGTGTACGCCCACTGCGTTGAAGCCGAACTTCCCCTTTCGTGCTGTCAGCAGGGGGTCTGCGTTATTCAGTGGACATTGTCGGTGACGGAGAACACTTCCCACCTTCGAAGTTATAATTGATCGCATCTTCACAGTACGTGCTGATGAAGTTCTAGATCTGAGAAGGCATGGAGAGAAAAAAAGGGTTTCAGATGGCAATGCCCGACGCACCTTGCTAGTTGTCATGGTGTGGTGGCAGGCGTCTATAGGATGAGTGCGTCTGAATAGCGGCACAGAACCTTTCAGGCATGTCGGATGCCGATGTCCATTGTTTGAGTCACCCGTCAAATTGTTATGAGCATTTCGGAAAACAAGGAAACTGCGGTTAATGAACTGAGCCTAAGGGTCAAACCATTATGAATACAAGGCAAATTGAAACTGAAACCGAGGCACTGAACACGAAGATCACCCGAAAATTGAACGGTTGCTTGGGAAAGTCCGCAGGGCAAACTTAGTCTAGACACGGCTGATTCCGTGCGGACAAACACCCCGGGCCCATTACAACAGCCTAGGCTAGGGGTAATGGCGTATCTTGCTGCGTACTTGCGCCGCGAAGGTTTGGCCTTCAGCTCCGTGGCAACGCTGGCACCACAAGCATATTGCAGGGGAGGTGAGCGGGGAAGTCCGGACCCAATTTGTCGTACACGTAGACTTAAGGTTTCACAATGTCACTTTGAACTGCGTGGAAGTGATTAACAACAGATCGGCGCTTAAAATATTGAATTCCGCGGCAGGTTGCTGGCACCTTTCCGCATTGTGTTGCGGCAATGTGTGCACAGTCAGGCAAGTAGTACAATCCGTTATATATCAATGGGCGAAGGTGAGCTGAGGGGGGCCGGGTGCAACATGTTCATCAATTCGCTCATGCCTAGCGGATTTTTCCGTCTGGGTTCGTAATTTTTCGTATTTGATAGTTATTAGTACAGCCTGCAGTCCGGGAACTTGGATCGTCACGAACAAGGACACAATCATCAGCGAGCAAAGCCCGAGGATCACAAGCGCGATGAGGGCACCTCCACGGACACCTCAGCGGGCCCGTAGGCTCGTTCTTGTGGCGCATACTGTATACGGCACGTCTATCTCGTCGGGTATGATAACGCAGGATGAGTCCGCGCCTGCGCCGTTGTTAATTTCGCTCTCTCCCGGTTGGCTGTTGTGGTAAAAGGTTGATACGCATTTGATTAAGGTCATATTTCAAATCTCAAGAGCCAATAGTTATCCACATTAACATTAGACATGGGTATAAGAGATACTGGGTGGGAGTGACAACAGGTTTGTAGCAACTGGAAGCCGGTTAATTCACCAGATGATCTTGAAAAAAAAACATCGTCAAGCACGAATACGCCCAAACGACTACAATGCACACACCTGGCAAAGGCAGCACGACCGGGACATAGTCGGGAATCTCTGCGTAATGTTGTCGATCACGGAAAAGATAACGTACGCGAAGCGATTTTGGAGATGTAGGGGCGGGATCGTAGAAACCTTGAATGCCGGCCTGTGACATGACACGTGAACCAAATTCGAGGAGAAGATATGAGCGTGACTACCTTTGTGCGATGACCGGGGATATGAACCTGACTGTTGTGCACCAAGGCTTGTACAGGCACGGTTACATCTATCGTAAGGTTCTCGGCGCCCGTTTCGGGTCCGTACGTCGCACTCAAGATGACAAGGCCTTTGACTCAACGTGAGAACCACGTGCCCGGATATGTAGAGATGTCGTACCTCCTCTGGACCTCTCCGTCTGCATGTGACGTTTGGCAGTGTCGCTCAACAACCCCACGGTATCATCAATCCGCCTCTTTAGCTGAGTTTTTTCCTCTTTGAGGAGGCGCTCAGCCTTGCGGAAATATCTTTTTAATTAAAAAAACAAAAACGTTAATCTGACAATCGAAGAAAGTTGGAGATAAGACTGACAATGTCCGTTGTAACTGCCTACGAGGCTTCAAAATAAAATGATATCCGAGGAGGAGAACTGTTGAAGGCAAAACAGCCGAAAAGAACTCCAATGTTTGATTTCTTACGGTGGACAAAGTTATTGGCAATATCCACTTCTGATGGAGATATTCCAACCTGGTATCAACGCGTGAGTCAGGAGAATATTTGAGGACGAAGTGGCGCACTCGAAGCGCATGATTAACCCCTTGGTGCTCACACCAAAGCTAGTTGATATAGCAGCATTCGTGTTAGTCCATGTTGCAGTGACCAAATAGGCCATTTGCCGAAACCCAATCTCTAGGCCTGCCTTGAACCTCAGCGATAGTTCGAAAAACCAGATAGACCATTCGGTCCTGATACACGAGTTGACGGCCAGATAACTGTAATCCACACGACCAAGCCCGCAGTCCAACCCCAAAACCACTGGCGGAGCCAGGCTTATTTGTAAAGTCGGCGTTCATACGGTCCGTATAGCGAACGTAATTTTCAGAAGACGAGAAGTCAAATGGCTGAGGGGAGTGTATATCAAATTCAAAGCTTCCCATGGACAATGGAGAGAATGTCCACGCCACAGAGCCCACCGTTGAAGCGTGTCGGAAGAGTCGACGACTGAAGGAAACGGTACTAGCCGGAGGGAGAAGGTTCCAGAATGCAGGAATGAAATGCACACGGCAATTTAGGGTATTGTCATTATCTTCGTAGCTCGCTTTTGCGACAACGAGGTGAGGGTCTAAGAAATGTGCTGTAGCCTTTTCAGATGACGATCATTCCCTGAGTAATAAGTCTGATGTAATAATAAGACATACCTCCAAAGCGAGCCGAGGAGAAAATTGATGGCGTATCGTGCCCATGAGGTTATTTCTACTCAGCAAGTCATTTCGAGGGCCTAGTCCCAGGTGACTTGTGAATTTGAGATTAGTCTTTTCATTCAACACTTTCTGCACGATTTGGAGCGGATATGAATGTCAGGTGGGAACGAAAAGGTATGTAGCTCACCATAACAGAGTGACGAATGGCAAATTGAGAGACCCAGACTCCACGGAAGCGGGTGAGGATGCCTCTCGAATCATAATCTAGGTCACCATCGCGTGCGAACAACGTCGATGCGTCAATTCCACACGTCACAGTGCCTCTTGGCCGAATGAGGTGATCAAACACTTCTTGACTACGATCGATCCTCCAACGTCGAAGATGCGCACGTATCTGTCAAGACGAGTAAGTCAGCATTGCATGCTGAGCAAAAATGCCGCACTTGTTCAACACTCTGAGACCGCAACTCTGTTGGCCACGGGGTTTTTAAAGCATCTTCGCCTAGTGCCGATAAGGAAATATATGGTTGTGTGAAGTATGCCCAGAGGATGGAATGAGGATGTGCTTACCTAGGAATCATACACTTCCCTATTAGAGTAAGACCGCATGCAAAGAGCGGTGTGTTACAACAAAAACTCACCGAAGAAAAGGGTCTGACAAAACTTTGGAGTGTTGTCAGACATTGCATTGGAGCTGGACTAAAGACTTTCACCTTCGTAAGCCTTCTGAATTTCAAGGAATTCCACAGCTGCAGTGTCCTTTGTCCGTTCCCCGCGTTGCTTATCGGGGTGAAAAATTACAGATAATGCTTTGTAGCGTTCCCGTATTTCGTTTGCGGAAGCGGTAGTTGGCACGTTTAACACTGAACTTTTTTATATGTCAGTGGCGGCTCTGGACACTATGCGAACGACGTACTAAAAGTATTCATTTCGCACCGGGTCTACGCGTGATTTGTTCATGCTGGCTTCCCAAAAAAATTGCGCGTACGTGGTACCAATGTCGACAATGGCCAACCACGAGTTTCAACGACAAATGCTCGGTTCCCCCCTATGATGCAAAAAAGCTTAATCGGCTTTCGGGTAATGAAATTCCCACGAGACGTGAATCGCCACGTCGGTTGTTACAAGTTGGCACAAAGCTTAACTTCTTCCTCGTCTTCATCGTTCACCATGACCTCCCGCATAAACATTGGTCGCCCAGCTTCAACAAGCTATCATAGCCCAGATCCCCATGGATTCGCAAACTCACAACCTTCTACAGGTTACAGAGCAGCTAACCCAGACCATCCTCTCGAAAGGATTCGAGCAGTTTCTAAACAAGTAGAAGACGCTATCGAGATATATTCTCAGCCCTTGAAACCTCATTTACCTACTATCGGCCGGTTCTTGATCATCGTCACGTTCTATGAGGATGCTCTGAGGATTATGACACAGTGGAATGATCAGCTTTGGTACCTCCAAACGTCAGTTACAGCTATGGCATAGCAAGAGATGTTGTTCAAATTTCTTGGTTACAGACATAGGCATTTCTACCCGGGAATCTCCCACATCTTCCTACTACTCAATGTCATCGTAAGCCCTCACTCTAAGTCTTGCAATTTCTGGATTTAATTCACCTGTCGTAGACAATGCTTGTCGCTTCCTCAGCCGTCATCATGAAAAGGTACACAGAATATGCGGTCATCGGTCTCCTCAGCGTAGTTGTCATTCAAGGCTTCGGATATGGCCTGATGTTCGACCTCACTTTCTTCCTTCGTAACTTGAGCGTCATAGGCGGTCTCATCATGGTGTTTAGCGAAACCATGATCAACAAAAAGAAAAGCTTTGCCGGTATCCCGTCTATGAGTGAAACAGACCGCAAGAAATAGTGCGCATTCTTCCCCCACCCTTCTTTCGCAACTAACTCATCTATTTCCCCGCCATTATAGCTTCCTCCTAGCAGGTCGCGTCCTCCTTATCTTCCTCTTCTTTGGCTTCATTATCCAAGGAACATGGAGCATAGTCCGCGTGTTTGTGTCCCTCTTCGGTCTCGCAGCATGCACGATGGTAGCTATCGGCTTCAAAGCAAAATGGTCTGCGACCTTCCTTGTCATCCTACTCAGTGTCTTCAACGTCTTTGCGAACAACTGGTGGAGCGTTCATAGTGCGCATCCTCAGCGCGATTTTCTCAAGTACGTGTGTCAGTTATATATTAGGGCGTGTGCTGATGCGCTTTGCTAGGTACGATTTCTTCCAGACGCTCTGTAAGCCACTATCCCTTGCCATCACTTGCAGCATTCAAACATTAATAAATCACAGCTATCGTCGGAGGCCTCATCCTTCTCGTGAATATTGGACCCGGTACGTCAATCTCACTCTCCCTACATCGTTCGTTCGTGACTGACGCCCACACAGGTGGCCTCTCGGTAGACGAGAAGAAAAAGACATACTAGAGCAAAGACTCTTTGTTTTCTTTATTGGCACCATAACAGCAGTATTATCGTTATGCCGCAGGAGATGCCTAGGATCGCTTGAATGCCTGTCGTGTCGGACGCCTCGGTACTCATACATAGCATATATATCCCATATCGCATTGTCAATAACTATGGCATAGTCGATTTGTCGTCACCGCATAGAGATACCAGTCCTCATCAAAGTTTTTTGTACCTATAGATGAGCGTGACGTGAGGATGTGCGATTTCTGGCGTGGAAGCATAGCACCTCGAGTCAAAATCAAAATGTCAGACTGCTACCCTAACTGCCTAAATACATTCTTGCTCCCACTCCTCATTCCCTTTCTCCGCTGCTTCCTCCCCGTCCGTTCACTCTCACTCAACACAGCCGTCCCATCCCCATCCCCACCCCCACGCTCCATACCAGCTCCAAACACCTCCACGCCCTTCCTCGTACTTCTGTCTTTTCTGCTCCCCCGGTCTCTTGAGGTATCTTTAGTGGAAGAAGGGACCCAGCTCATTTCAAACCCTCCTTTATCTCCCTTCGCTGCGGCGTGGGGTGTCGTAGTGTGAGAGGAACCACGTACAGGTGCATTCCTCCGCTGTCCAAACGTAGCAGTCTTATTGTCTGTCTTCCTAACGCTCATACTAGTTTCAGTGTGTGGAACAAGAGGGACGAAGTTGATGTTGGCATTGGATTGTCTGTTGTGTTGGCGCGTCCGCGCGTATGCTTGGTGTGCGCGTTCGTTCTTTTGGCCTGGACGCACACGCGGGTCAAATTTGTTGAGTTCTGGGAAGTTATGTGAGTACGCGATCGTGAGTTTTAAGTAGACGACGGTGGGTGAGGATAGACGTTGGAAGGAAGATGATTAGAAACGAAACCAGAAACTCACCACCAGCATCACTACTATCATCACTATCACCACCCTCGCTCTCGCTCTCATCCTCATTAATCCCAGCAGACGAAGCCCTCTCGCTCTCCTCTTCCTCCTCCTCAACAGCAGTCTTCCCTCTTGGATTCTGCTTAGAATCCGAAGCTGAAGGATGCAAAAGCGCATATTCTCTTGTCGTTTCGTCCACTGCGAATTCGGGGTTCAGGAACAAGTCTTTGAAACGGGGGTCGTTGAGGAGGGTTGGTTTTTCGAGTTCAGTTGGAGTTTGTTCTGCCTCATCATCATCGGCACCAACATCAACATCCATAGCCTCTTCATCCTCTCCACCCTTCGCACCCCTTCTCTTCTTCCTTTCCTCCTTCTTCCTCTCCTTCTCAAGCCCCTTCTCAATCCTCTCCGCCAACGCTTTATTAACCTTGACTTCCTCACTTCCAGCCCCAGCACCAGTACCCTTCTTCGTACGTATCCTCGTCTCCGCCATCTTCTCCATCCGCTCCTTGACGAGTTTCTCACGATGCTCAGCATATGCGAAGGGGTTGGCAATAACGCGTGCGGTGTCGTAGAGGTGGAGGGACAGGAAGTAGCCGTGCATGTAGGGTTTGAGAGCGGGGGTTCCTATTAGGTGGTCGAGGCCAAGTCTGCAGGAGGTGCGTGAGTTGTGAGTCTGGGGTGAATGGGGAATGTAGCACAGAATCAAGAGGAAATATGGTAGCAAACACGGAAAAAAAAAACACAAAAAAAAACCCACGTCTTCAGCTCACTCCTCTCTACAAACTTGAAATCCTCATACGCAGTCCTGGTCGTAGAATCTTCCATCTCTTCCGTAACATTTTCCAGAAAACCAGCCCAGCGTGGTGCAGGACCAAGCGCAGGGACGTAATATGTGCCCATTTGAATACCTTCGTTTGCGGTTAAGAAGAGGCCACTGCCTGGGACGTGGTGGATGTGGTTGAGGTCGTTTGCGGGTGTTATGGATACGAAGTTGGATGACGGCTGTTGTGCGTCGGTGTTAGTGTCGTCATCAGCATTAGTGCTATCGAGTAAGTAAGACGGGCTCACGGAATTACGATCCCATATTTTGACGACTTTTTTATCTGCGCTCATCACCATACCGTCCCCCGCGAGTCGACCGCCTTCTATCCATGTTAGATTGCGTATTGGGATGCCGTAGCCTTGGTCTTTTAGTGCGAAGTGCCGGTTGGATCGGATATCGTACAGGAGGGTGTGTCCTGTGGATGTTCCTACAGCGTATGATAGACCGTCTGATCGAGAAGCAAGAGCTGTGATGCCTATACTGAGTGTGTCGATGTCATCGACGCCTGGCATGGTACTCCGCGTTGCCGGACGTAGCAATCGATTGGTTGGTGCTCGAAGCACACCGACGGATGATCTGGAACGAAGATCCCAGAATTGAACTGTCCCGTTACCATCGACGCCGAATGCGAGGAGGTTATGCGCGGGGTTGATGTCAATACAGTTTACGCCTTGAATGTCGTCTTCTTGAAGAACTAGGGGACTGAGAAAACGCCCTTGTTCGAGGTTGAGTCGATATATCTCGTTTCCTGAAGCTGAGAAGAGCGCGGTGCATGATGGAAAGTGATATGCCAGTGACCGACCGAAGCGCGGTATGCGAGTCCTATAATGAAATCCTCCCTGAGTGTGCAGCTCGATAGTACGATCATTCTGCAAGTGCATGATTTTTGTCCAATCATCCGATAAAATCTGGAATCAAAATCGTTGTGAGCTTGCATGAGGATGAGGAATATGAGACTGACTATGAAATCGACGTTCTCTGCATCTGAATGTCTCTCGAATTTTAGATTGAGCTCGTCTAGATCCCAGACTCTTGTCTGAGGTTTATAGGTGCCAGTAGCTATGGCATGATGTCCGTCTCTTGTTGTTTTGATTTTGTTGCTGGCCTCAGGGAATTCGAATCCTTGGATGAGCTCGATAGCACCTTGGACATATTCTTTGGAGACTCGCTTTCCTTTTCCCTTCGCTGCTCGTTTTTTGATAAGCCAATCTGGAATAGACGACGATGAGCCTGCTACTGCGCCATTGACAGTATAAACTTTCACGTCCATCCTAGCTGCGCCAACTTGAAAAAGAAAATGCAAGTATATGAGAGCGTCCTAATTTGGATAATATGTCAGACTCAGAACGGTCTTTCTCAGTAATTCCCTCAAACCGCGTCTCCATGCCAGACCAAAGTGAGTAGTTCCTATATTTATTTTCCTGAACGGCTGATGTTTGAATCCAAGCAGATCAATCACAATACGCAGCGGCAGCGCACGTTCCACTCATAAAGTCACCAGGTCTTCGAGTTCCTCCACCTGTACGATTCGGAAGCACGTCCTCCTTTGGCGACTACACTGACTTGCTCTCAGGTACATCTACCACCAGACATCCACCCTCTCCCCGATAGCGTCATTCCATACGCACGTACCTCTAACTCTCAATCAATCTCACTGACTGACAAGCTCGCAGTTCGTCTATCCATACACACTAGAACCTCACATCCTCACAGTCGAGTCTTCTCGGCGCATGACACTCGCGGCACATACGGCGAAAAGGGAGGCCTATCTTCGAGCGAGAGAGGACGAGCGTGAATGGCGGAGAAAGGAGGCACTCAGGCGTGTCGCACCTGGTTTTGATCCTGCGGCGACTCTTGTGCCTGTTCGTGCTGAAACTGGTGAGGTTAAGACGGATGTGATGGATCAGCTTGTGGACCAGCTTGCTAGGATGGAGAATAGCAGTTGAGTTGCTGAGCATATTAAGTATTTCGTCGGAAAGGACACTTTGACCCAGGACACCGTGCTTTGTGATTCAAACACTTTTTTAAGGTCTTGTAATCTAATTTTTTCTTCTAATTTCATTCGAGTATTGGATGCGACCACTCGGCCTCCCAAACTCACGGATCAGCATAACATTCACTTATCTCCAGCATTGATCATAGTAATCGAAAGGTACATGCTGGTCTCCCCGGCTTGCCAGTATACTTTCTGCTTCCGCACTTGGACTTCCCCATTTCTTCCTCTGGTTCCGAGATACTAGCACTGTGATACCAGGGGGCAAATAACGATTCACCAAGATTCTTAAGCTTGTCACTGGCTACAGTTTCCAACTACTTCACAGCATTGGCGACCCCCCTCCCTACTCTGAATTTTGTGAGTAATATCCAGTCTTTTGAGAGTGTGATCCAAATTTCTGACGAGCTGCTCGAGACCAGATTTTGACGTAACCTCAGACTGCATATTCTTCCTTGCGCCTTCCGACATGGGTCTATGTGCTTCTCATCATTTTCCACCCCTGTTGATCTGTGATAGAAGCGAACGATATGATCCACATCTTTTCAGGTGCGATTCAGAGGAGGGTGCGAGCTACGTGTTAGGGATGCATGATTCACGGCACTCTGCAATCATGCTAATACACCAATCTATATGGCAATCTCCAGACAAACGGAGGTACTAGTTGGTCATAACACAAGTCGCGGTCAACAATCGAAGATACTGTCAAAACTATCATTGACGAGTGTTTTACTTCGTCGCGGACGAACCACAGAATAGATAGCGGGGGAGAACTTGGTCAAAACCATATCACATAGTCTCGCATCTTCAATGACATCGATAGAGGCTATGTCCTCTCGAGCACTGATTATTGCGAAGAGCGGCAAGATGTAAATGGTGAGGGATGTTACTGTCCATGGAGGTGTTGGGCCTCTCAACGAACAGATATTATTTGGCGGGGCTGCAGCTCACTCCCATGCTGCGTGGGAGCAGAAGGATGTCATACGCCATTTTGAGTCGTCGCAATAAATGCAAGGCACTCTACCATCCAGTCCAGATCTTCTGTAAAGAGGGAGTCCTCTTTCCACCAGACCCAGCGGTGATCCCACACCTGGGCAGGGCCACGAGATACCTTGGTAGAAATTGGATAGGTTCGTGCTTGCTCTGGAGCTTTTCCATACAACAGGTTTGAGCTAAACTGAGCAAACCGACATTCGCAGGCCCTTGAGCTGCTTCCATTATGCGGCGGACAAACTCCATAGAGACGGTTGCACCAATTTGCCAAGAGACCTTGCGTGGCAGTCTGCTGGCATATAAAAGCAGAGTGTTTTCCTAGCAGTTCCTACTAACCCTTCAGACACATTCTCATATCACATTCTCACTCACCATGCGTTTCTCTTCTGTATTTTTCCTCGCCGTTGTTATTGCTTCAGCATCATCAATATCTGCCACACCCATTGACTCTGCCACACCCATTGAAGCTGGTACCGAGGTATGTAACACCTGGTGCTATCGTGATAGCCAATGCACGACCTGCGCCAAACATTTCTGCGTGAGTTTCAGTGGTTTGTGTCTTGGATTTGACCACATGACTGAACGACGCGACAGGCCTTTCCTTGGTGCGGAGTGAGTCGTGTTTCTGCTTTCAGGATCGGTGCAGTATGGTTCATGGCACTAACACGTGAGTTACTAGATGGCGTAAAACCCGCTGCGTCCATCGCCACGCGCCGTTCCACGGCTTGTCTGAGCACGGCCGCTTTATTTGTCCATCATTTGTCAAAAATATATAGAGAACAAATACCCTCCAGCAGAATAAGCCAATAGAACTAATTCACGACGCAAGAATCTCGGAAACGGAAGCAATAAGTACCAGCAACATAGTGGCATTCGCCCCCACAACAAACCTAAAGTTTAAGGCATAACCAGAAATCCCTCCTAAGCGCGAAAGGTGCCGGTTCCTGGAGGCACGGAAGGAACCGGCACCACACGTCCAGCTGAGCAACAAGCCTATTCTTCATTGAAGTTCATTCTCTCAACTTCCGCCATTCCACCACGACGTACGACCCGCTCGCATAATTTCTCCTCAATATCATGAATATTCTTATTCAACTGTATTCCTCGCATTCACCAAGCCTTTGCGTTATAGCTCTACGTACTCGGAAGTCGAAGCCTTAGAGTCTGAATCTGCATTTGCATGCCCACCTAAACACTCCTCTGCATTCGGGCATTAGGATGGATTTTCTAGCAGTCATCTCCCCTCTCACTGTCAGGCCTTTATCCTCCATTTCTCTGAGTTTCCAGCACTCAAAATTCAGACCATGTCACTTTATTTGGGCATATGTGCTTTCTGCTGTGCCCCAGCCGTCTGCGTCCCCCTCTTATCGCCATAGTCTATCTTTCATTCACCTTGGCCCGGTGCGTCTCTTTGAGTGTTTAGTATTATTGCGAACACAATACTGATTATCCTCTGTCTGGGTACTTGGTTAGGCTGCCCTGAGTGTCCTCGTTTCGAAGGGGTTTATATCGCCTTGCTTCAATTGCACCATACCTTGTCGTGGCCGAGATGCATCTGGTTTGTCCTTAGTCTTCTAGTTTCACTTACTAGGCCCATAAGTATCCCTTACTCCTACATTCGCGATTCTTGATTCTAAGCTAGCTACCTTTGTCCGTCCAGCAGTTTATTGGTGCACATAACATACTGGTTCATATCTTCCTGCATAGTGATCATAATGCTATGTCCGTTCCATTTTCACCTGTACTAGTGACTGACGCGAATGAGACTTCTTGTAATTATGCAGTAATGAAATATTGACCTCGCACTTCCGGACAAACTGATAAGTTTGAACCCATCCGACACTAAGCACATTTGACTTTCCCAGAGCTATACAACGAATACCGCATCCTACGCTAATATTTTCATCACGCGCCACCCCTCGAAAACGTCCCAACAGGCCTCTGAATCGGCGCAATACCAGGCGAAGGTTTCAATGGTGGAAACGAAGACCTAAATCCACGCGCTGGTTCAAAAGGTGGTGCCTTGCTCGACAGCGTCGAAGTCCCAGACGCAGAACTAGTAGGAAGCATATTGCCACCATGCGACGCTGTAGAACTCGCTGAATTGGATAATATTGATACCTTCGGATGCGACAGTGACGAACTTGTAGAATGCGAAAGCCAAGAGCTGGACGAATGACAGCTCGCATATGGGTTAGCGAGTCCCAGTCCAGGAGGCGCGCCATCCCCGATTCGATATGCCGAAGTCCGTGATTGATGTCTCCGATACTGAGGAGGAGACACAGGTTGTTGCATCTGCATTGATCTCCCAATCGTCGCATTATATGCCGCACCCACGTCAGCCTCCGCTTCAGCATCCTGTATCTCCCTCTCAACCTCCTTAAGCGTCTTCTCCAAATCAATCAACACCGTCCCCTCCAACTTCTCCTGCCTCGCATAAAGCCTCTCCAACCTATGCTCGACGCTCCCAATCTCATTCTTAACACCCTCCACGCGTCTTCTCCTTACTTCCTCCTTCCCCTCGCGTTCCTTACGCACTTGAGTAGCCTCCTTGTTAAGAACGTCATATCCCTCCTCTTTCTCGCGCACTTGTTTCCTCAAAGAAGGATTAGAGCCTTCAAGTTCACTTCTGCCCCTCTCAGCATCCTCTTTCCCCTCATTAGCCCTCTTAACAGCATCCTCAAGCGCCCTGATGCGCTGTCTCGCCTTACTCTCGGCAGCACTCGCTTTTTCAGAAGCCCGATTGAGAGCTTCGATCTCATTTTTGAGTACTGCGTCTGCTTTTTGACTGTCCCTGCGCGTGGATTTGAGGGTGGTGGTTAGCTCGGAGATATGTGTCTGAAGGGACGCAAGAGTGGATTGTAGTTTTGGGAGGCGGTCTTCTTGGGTGGGTGTTGTGGAGCGAGATGTGGAGCGCGGTTGGGGATGGGTGAGAGGGGCTGAGTCGGTTGTTGCAGTTGACACTGATAGGCTTTGGGATGATGATGATGCGGAGGATGATGAGGATGAGGGCGGGAGGAGAAAACTAGTACTTGTTCCTTCGTCCAACCTTCCATTCTCAATCGCACCTTCCGCATCTGCGCACAAAACCAAATCAGACTCATAAGTCCCCGTATCATCACTAATCAGATCAAAGCACACACCTTCAGTGACAACTTGCCTCCGAATAGAACTTGCCAATCCACCCTGTACAAGTCCCAGATCGATATCATACTGACGTCCAGGCATGAGCCCGTATATGATGATAACAGCCTCGTCTACGGGCTCGAGGAGGCGTATGAGGACGCGCTGCCATGGGGAACCGTTGACAGATACTGAGAGGCCTGCTGAGAGTGCTTCGGAGATAATTCCTCGGGCAGTATCTCCTACGGCGTCCCCTTCTGTTTCTCCTCCTAGTTCCCCGTCGACTCCTACCTCTAGTTCTGTTTCTAGTTCTTGTTCTATCTCTGGGTTGGTGTCTGGGCTTGCATTCGCGTTTGTGGTTGCGGGTATCGAGGATTCGTGATCTATGTTCGAAACAGGTTCAGATGGTGGAGAGAGTGTTGAAGAGAGAATAAACGTCGCTGAAACAGATGTGATTTCACGGACTGAGAGAATGAGGTGAGGCGTCCAGGGACGGATGGAGTACCATGAACTTGTGTTTGATGGTTGGTCTGTGGTATGCATCGCCATCTTCAGTTCATTCGTTAGCTTGTCGTTGTTAGTGTTGAGCTGATCGCCGTTGGCAGTGAGCTGATCGTTGACGCGCGTTGGGTCGAGGATAACTACGTGATGAAGGTTTTACATAACACTTAGTAACTCCTTTGTTGTCACTAGTTTATAGATTACAATTTTCACTTGATCACAAACGCTTCAAACCGACTCAGAAACATCTAGTGGTGCCTTTTGACCCGAGTCAATAAATTGTCTGGAGATATGGTATTATTCTCATAGGCAGACCTTCAAAGCATCATACTCCACAGACATCACAACGGTCACCTTTATCCTTAACATCAACAACGATAGTCTCAATATCTAGATCTAACTTGGGGCAGTTTGTACTACCTTAGACAACCGTCATAGGCAGACTTTCATAAGCGTTATGCTATGCAGAATCCAAACACACTTGTCCTTGGATTTGACTAACGTCAACAGTTCCGAGACCTACGAATGCTACTCGCATGCTAGACTGCTGCACAAAGGATACCGGATCCTGCACTTGACGACTCCATCACCTCCATGATAGCGCCAGTCTGAATCCGGCGAATGTCTTCCACCAGTGCATTGGTAAAACAGGCGCTCGAAGAAGATGTTTGGGACAAACCGGGCCCTCCAGCTCAGGACCCGCGATCAGTTTTATCACCGATGAGTCGCATGACTGATAGCTCGTACATGTTCGAGATTCTGGGATTCACTCGGGCTAGATGGCGGCATTGTAGTATATTGCTGTGTGAGCGCTCAATTTCAAACTTTTTTGTCTGCTGAAGTTCCGTTTGCGCTAGAACCAATGCTACTGTTTTTGGCCAGTTCTCACCTTACTGCGCCTCATCCTTTGATAGCATTGCAGATTATGGCGTTAATATTTTGGCCAATTCTGCTGGAACTAACATGACTACAGTTGCTTTCGAGTCGGCAGGGCAACACTTCTCTGGTACTCTGCAGGGAATATATCCATTTGTGTTTGTCCGAATGCTTTTGGAAATTGGTTGCAGCTTCCGAATTTGACTACTCATTGAGCTCCTACAGTCATGCATGTACAGTGCACAGCATCTATAAAGAAGAGCGGCCCACCTATCTTCTTTCTGCTTCAAATTTTTAGAGTAGATTATCATATCATCTACATTCGGTGCCGTCGGCCTCCAAAGCTTATCAGATATACGCGTGGTGTTCGATGTCTGATGCGCGATCATCGCGCCCAACTACCATCATCTATATGTGCCTTCATTATGATCCCCTGAGATTGCGAGCCAAGGGCTGAGCTCTCACATGTACATGCCTAGGTACATCTCGTCATCTGCTGCAAAGCTATGTTCACTTCCCATGCAGGATCATTCGCCACGCACCGAGATGTAGAGTTTTGAGCGGCCGGGCGGACTGGATCATCGTGAAGGATGTCAGCACCACGGCAGGCTTGCGTCCGACCAGCTTGAGACGCGTACCACAGGCTACGAGTCAACCACTATATAAAGATGCATTCCAACTCTACATCAGAACGTAACAATGTCTCGTCCTGAATCAGATCTCCTGGACTCATTGCCCACTGAACTATCTCAGCAGTTGAAGGCTCGCGTAGATCGAGCTTTGCTCGAGTTTATGCGGCCGAATTCTGCGTCTCAGTTTGCGCAGGAAGCTCCTGAGTTGGCCAAATTCCGTGAGGCCATCGCGCAGAACGATTCGACGGATGATAGGGAACTCTTACGCATCTTTCGAGAATTTGTCCCTACTACAAACTACGAACCTTACCGGCCGTTCATAGCAAAGTTTTTGCGACCCCTTGCAAGGAGGCTGATGTCAAGAACATGTTCGCCCCAGGACTTCCCTACTTCCTCGCCATGTCTAGCATGACATCTGGCAAATCAGTGAAGACATTTCCAAAGTATCTGCCTCCCTCGCACCTGCTCCAACACTCTCTTTATCTGGCGCTTGCCCCGTCAGAGGGAACCATCTTATCACCGTCTTCTCTGAAGTATCCGCAAATCTTAACAATAGATTGCGAAGACGGTCAATCCAAGCAGGTGACAGTCTGCTCGTTGAGCATCGGTTTTCTGCGAATGGCAATGAACTGGGACGTCGAGCATGACAACGAGAGGCTCGACTTATGGCGTAAGCCTTTCGCGCCACTGTCGCTCGTGCATGCTGATTTCCAGCCAATTTTCAGTGCCGGGACAAACAGATCCATATGCGATCTCCTTGGTTAAGAGCTATCGGGCATTCTTCGTCTTGAATGCTCTGTTTGCACTGGCAGACCGTCGGGTGACAACCATCCGGTTCTTCTTCGCCAACGTATTCGTCATTTTTCTGCAGTATATAGAGGATGAATGGTCTCTACTCATCGACTGCATCGAGAAAGGCATCATCCCAGATGTGGAAAACCTGGGCCATTTGCGAGCACCTTTGGAGGTCGTATTTTTGTTATTTGTTACATTCCACTCGGCTGACCAGGTCTCTCAGAAACTGTTTGAGCCAGATCCTGTTCGTGCTGCCGAACTTCTGGAAATCGGACCTCCTGGTATCCAGGGTTGGGCAGTCCGCGTGTGGCCTGACCTGACAAGGTTTATTGGGATCACCGGAGGGCCTGCTGCTGCCTCCGTTCCCAAGGCATGTCAAGTGTTGAAGGTTTACTACTCAACTGACAATTATTGATACTAGATTACTCATGCCCTCGGACCTTCTGTCTTCACCCAGTCTCCTGGTTATGGTAGCTCAGAGGGCGGCGTCGCCATAACATACCACAAAGGCGACCCTAACACTGATTACAAGGTGGTGTTGGTGGATGTGGTCACCGAGTTTTTGGACGTGCATTCCAACGAACCCTCGGAGCGTGTACTGTCCATTGTGAGAACCACTCACCACGTCTCACCTTTGTCTATACTCATCCCTGTCGTAGCATGAACTCATAACTGGAGGACATTACGAGCCCATCTTGACGACTCGCAATGGCTTGTGGAGATATCGTATGGGTGATGTCGTCACCGTTAAAGGCTTCGCTCCAGATGACGGGTTGCCCGTCATCAGTTACCTTCACAGGCGAGAGTGAGTTGCCGCGTCATCGGTTTCATGAGCTGAGCTAACTTCGCCCGGCTTGGAAGAGGTGGAATTGTGATGGCATTCGGAACGACGTGCACCGAGTCCCAATTGACGACCGCGATCGTCTCTGCCGCCAATCGGTGGATCGGCCAAATCATAGATTTCACGATTGTAGGCGACGACCGAGACACTCCTATCACTTATGGGTATTTGGTAGAAATTGGAGGGGAAATAGGTTCGTGCTTGCCTTGGGACTCTTTGACACGATGGGATTGAGCGTTGTTGCTTGCAGGAAAGGAGGCGAGAATGGCGATACAGCAAACTTTTGAAGAACTCATGGCGGCAAACAACGAGTTTCGGACCGCTTTCTGGCAAGGCAGAGCAAGAAAGCCGACCATTCGTCTCTTGAAGAAAGGTACCTTTACAGAATATCGCAGGCAGAAATGCGACAAAACAAGCATCTCGATATCGCAATTGAAGGTTCCCGTCGTCCTATCCGACCAAATTTTTAGGGAATGGTTCCTGGAAAGAGTTACGATTGAGCTGTAAGGGAGTCTGATATCAAGTTGTCTATACCATCTCATCTTCGACGGCTGGCACGTCTACAACAGCCGGCGGGAACGGCGGACTGGTGGGGGTACGCTCTACACCAGGGCATTTGCGCACACAGTGATGCACTTAGGGACACAGGTGTCCTTTAAGCTAGTAGATAGTTGTTCTCCATAGAGTTTCACTCTCCATAGGACAATAATTGAATTTAAAGAAAAAAATTGTCTATTCATTGCAGCATCGATATCCCAAACTTTGATCACCAGACCCGATCTTGTAGAAGGAGTAAATGAATGTATGTTGAGACCGAAATCGTAGCACTCACTGTACGGATTGCAGACTTGTTATTTTCATGGCCCAGACTCTGTTAACCTGATTTCTTTTTAGCCACCCGAGTATCACAGTCACTCACCCTGTTCTTCTTCTCAGCAGCCTGCCAATATTCCATGAAGCTGCATACTACACGAACTCAATGATGACAAAGATGAAAAGAAAAAAACCGACTGTGGTCTGTCCCATCGATATCCATCTGTGATTTGAATTTGCACGCAGAATACACTCCTGATCGAACTAAGATACCCTTCGTACAGTCCTAAAACACCAGGGTTTGTCTCATCTACTGTGGCGTCTGATACTCGGTGAGGTAGGTCGAACTGCCGCAGGTGCATAACCGTTACAACCAAAAGGTAGAATACTGAAGCAGAACGCATCACTTTCACCTTCCGAGTTCACACTATCTTTGGAGAACATTGTGGTATGATACTTTTCCGTCAGAAAGATGAGTAGCTCCCGATATTATGTACGGGATCTATGTCAAGCCCGGAATATCGGCCTCCTGCATATTAGTGTTGCTGTGCTTTTTGATTATCACCGTATCTAGATCAGGCATCATATCGTTATCATACCAGGATCCGACGGAATGCGGAACACCGAACATGGATCCGGAAGAACGTGGTCGAAAGTTGTCGGTAAAGGTGAACATTCCACATCCGTGACCCGGTGACCGACCGCTGCTATAAAGCAGCACTACTCATCAACAAAAAAAATACCTACAGGCTAAAGTCCACAACACTGTGATATAGAACAGTCATGAGATGACGGTTCTGTATCTCAGTGTACGTGGTTGCCTCTGCCGTAAGCACTAGCCACATTGACTGTCTTCTGTTCATTTACCGGCCGGACCGACCCAAACCAGCTCAGGTCGAGCTATAGTCTTTGTGAGTGAGAACACTGCTCCGGTACTGACATCTTAGTGTCTTCCAGGGGTTCCCTTTCCGTATCTCTAGTATTTGTTGGAGTAGCTGTCATTGAAAGTAGTTCATGTTAATGCCGAGACATCCAATAGAACGACGTAAGGGTGAATCGGCACGAACGTAATCATTTGTGCGAGGAACGGACAAATTTCGACCAAACTCTGTTACAGCTCAATTACAACTTGTTGCAGGAACCATTCTCTAAATGTAGGGTCGGATAGGACGACAGGTACCTTCACCTGCGATATCGAGACGTTCGTCTTGTTACACTTCTGTTGGCGATATCCTGCAAAGGTGCCTTTCTCTAAGAGACGAATGGTCGGCTTTCTCGCCCGGCCTTGCCAGAAAGCGGTCCGAAACTCGTCGTTTGCCGCCATGAGTTCTTCAAAAGTTTGTTGTATCGCCATTCTCGCCTCCTTTCCTGCAAGCGACAATCCTCAGTCCCATCGTGTGAAAGAGTCCCAAGGTAAGCACGAACCTATTTCCCCTCCAATTTCCACCAAATACCCATAAGTGATAGGGGTGTCTCGGTCGTCGCCTACAATCGTGAAATCTATGATCTGGCCGATCCACCGATTGGCGGCAGAGACGATCGCGGTCGTCAATTGGGACTCGGTGCACGTCGTTCCGAATGCCATCACAATTCCACCTCTTCCAAGTTAGGTGAAATTAGCTCAGCTCCTGAAACTGATGACGCGGCAACTCACTCTCGCCTATGAAGGTAGCTGATAACGGGCAATCCATCATCTGGAGCGAAGCCTTTAACGGTGACGACATCACCAATGCGATATCTCCACAAGCCATTGCGAGTCGTCAAGATGGGCTCGTAATGCCCTCCAGTTACAAGTTCATGCTACGACAGGTATGAGTATGGACAAAGGTGAGACGTGGTGAATGGTTCTTACAATGGACAGTACACGCTCCGGAGATTCGTTGGAATGCACGTCCAGAAACTCGGTCAACACATCCACAAACATTACCTTGTAGTCAGTGTTAGGATTGGTTTGGTGGTATGGTAGGGCCATGCTACCCTCTGAGCTGCCATAACCAGTAGCCTGCGTGCGGATGGAAGGTCCCAGGACGTGAGCAAGCTTGTGTGCGGTTAGCTGTCCGATGGGTTATAAACCTTCAACACTCGACATGCCTTGGAAACGGCTGTAGCAGCCGGACCTCCAGTAATCCCAAGGAACCTTTCCAAGTGAGGCCACACGCAGACTGCCCAACCTTGGATACCAGGAGGCCCAATTTCCCGAAGTTCAGCAGCACGATCAGGATTTGGCTTAAACAGTTTCTGAGAGACCTTGTCAGCCGAGTGGAATGTGACAAATAACAAAAAAACGACCTCCAAAGGTGCTCGCAAATGGCCCAGGTTTTCCACATCTGGGATGATGCCTTTCTCGATGCAGTCGATGAGTAGAGACCATTCATCCTCTATATACTGCAGAAAAATGACGAATACGTTGGCGAAGAAGAACCGGATGGTTGTCACCCGACGGTCTGCCAGTGCAAACAGAGCATTCAAGACGAAGAATGCCCGATAGCTCTTAACCAAGGAGATCGCATATGGATCTGTTTGTCCCGGCACTAAAAATTGGCTGGAAATCAGCGTTCACGAGCGACAGTGGTGCAAAGGGCTTACGCCATAAGTCGAGCCTCTCGTTATCATGCTCGGCGTCCCAGTTCATTGCCATTCGCAGAAAACCGATGCTCAACGAGCAGATTGTCACCTGCTTGGATTGACCGTCTTCGCAATCTATTGTTAAGATTTGCGAATATCTCATGGAAGCTGGTGATAAGGTGGTTCCCTCTGACGGGGGAAGCGCAAGATAAAGAGGGTTTTGCAGCAAGTGCGAGGGAGGCCGATATCTTGGAAATGTCTTTACTGATTTGCCAGATGTCATACTGGACATAGCAAAGAAGTAGGGAAGTCCTGGGGCGAACATGTTCTTGACATCAGCCTCCTTGCAAGGGGTCGCAAAAAACTTTGCTATGAACGGCCGGTAAGGTTCGTAGTTTGTGGTAGGGACAAATTCTCGAAAGATGCGTAGGAGATCCCTATCATCCATCGAATCGTTCTGCGTGATGGCTTCATGGAATTTGGTCAACTCGGGAGCATGCTGCACAAATTGAGATGTAAGATTCGGCCGTATCATCTCGACCAAGGCTTGATCTTCATAATCCTTCAGCTGCTGAGAGAGCTCAGCGGTCAACGATTCTAGTAGATCTGTGTCAGAACGAAACATTGCTGCAATCTGATGTGAATTTGGAATGGGACTTTATCTAGCATGATAGCTTGATAGATAGCCTGAAGTCTTCCGCGAGCAATTCCCTGCGCAGTGGCTCGTGACTTTACAGTTTGATTCGTGCTTCTACGTGGCAAGTAGTCATTCTATAATAGGTTAGTAGCGGATGACGGGGTGTACCTGAGTGTTGCACATGAATGCATGAAGGGTTTAGCCCTGAGCTCGCAAGCTCAGTGGACGATATGATGAGTGCACGTACATTGATGACGAGTGCGCGCGACGATCGCAACATACAAATGATAATGCAATCATACTTCAATGAGTGGCGGAGCGCAGCAACCAGGAACAAGTGATCGTTGTGTACTTATCTAAGAACCTTTGCAGGCCATGTCAATGGCACCAGATTGGTGATGATCTTCTCTATGCATAGAAGTAGAAGGAATACTCTGACAAGGCGGCCTTTCTTTGAACAGCACTCGATGAGCAATCCAATCTGGAAACTTGAAACCGGTCATACGGGCCATTCACGCAACTAGAGTGCCAGGATACGACTTCGTTGTCACGAGACATACGGATCACTTCAGCTTCAACAGGACTGTCTCAGGAGTGTTGCTGGAACATTTTCCTTGGGAGAGCAGAGGCGCCGCGGGAGCGTTCGGTTTCAGTGGCTGTGATACGATGCAACACGAGTCCACGACACTGATTTGCTTTCTCCCTGGAAACTATTTCGGATACCAAAAATAGATTTCATCCAGATTACTCGAGAAGTGTTCATCCTTGTCTCCCTTCTTGCACCAACATTGGACAAGAGCTTAGAGGCGTGGTCCGTGGCCACTGATACAAACTATTCAATTTGCACGAGCGACGGACAATCACGGTGCACCGGTGAGGTATGTGCTGGCCAGAAGCAGCAGAAAGGATCTTCAGGAGACATAAGAACGTTCAAATTAAGCACTCACAGCTGACTTACACCGCGTGCAAATATGATGGCAGCCCTCCTTTTTAGACTGGTGACCAGCCCCTCTATGAGGCAAACCGTCGATAGAGGGACTGGTAAATCTGGGTTTGAATTTGGATAGTGCGCGCTTTGGAGTCGTCACATGACCTGTAGCCAATAAGAAAACTGAAATTTTCGACGTGAATATTTGAAATGTTGAAATTAATGTTTGATTCATATTGATGTGATGTATACACGGTCGCGTCATTAATGTATGTATCTACTCTACAACTCCAATGGACGTGAACTCTATCATCCAAGCTGTGCAGGAAGCCTCGATGGAAGGACTAGACTCATTTGCTCGTTCGCTGATACAAGAACAGCTCCCTACCGACTATATCGAAACCCTCAGTGACAAGGATAAGACGGATGTGTTACGCGCTTGCCTGCTCGTGTACATCCTCACGGCTACAACCATTGTTCCACGAGTATTCCAGCTAGAAGCCATTCTTGCAACATTGAATGGCCATGACAGCATAATTACAGCCGGTACAGGCTGCGGAAAGACCTTGTGTCTCATAATTCCGAATCTACTTCGTCCAGACACTATCAGTGTGACGATTTCACCTCTGAAACGTCTCCAGATCACACAGGTAATATTCAAATTGATATTGACTTGTATTACATGCGAGAATAAGCTCATGGTAGGTGAATGAATGCATGAAATACGGCATATCTACAATATCAATCAATGAAGACACCCCAAATGATGCGTTGCTCTGGCAGGTGAAGTTGACTCGCATACTGTTACTAATTTCTATGTACGGGGACACATGAACTCATTTACTATCAATATACAGTCAATTTGTGCTGGAAAGTACAAGCATTTGATTGTCTCACCAGAACAACTGTCAATGTTCAATGGTCATCTACCACGTCTTGCACGGCTCAGGCAGAATACATAAATAGAGCACGTCTCAAACGTTAGGCTGCCCCACAGCAGTTGGAATGAAAGCTGATCACTGCTGGAGACGACGAGCGACATTACATAGAACAACGGTACTTGTAATGTATGATCGAATAACTTAGCAGACTTATCTAAGCAAGGTCTAAGTCCCGAACAGGGTTTTCCGTCATGTGACGACTCCAAAGCGCGCACTATCCAAATTCAAACCCAGATTTACCAGTCCCTCTATCGACGGTTTGCCTCATAGAGGGGCTGGTCACCAGTCTACCTCCTTTTTTGCTACTCCGATTTCGGTCGTTAAGCTTACGTACGTAAGTAGCGTATGAGTCAGCAAACAATTGAAATCGTTGAACGACGTTGTAACATTGATTGGTGATCGCTTCACCGTGACGGAGCACTGGGCCAATTCTCTAGCTCTGCCAATCCTTGGCAATACAGTTCGCATGAAATCCGAGGTTTTTGTATTGCATATTGCCAAGTATAAACTCCCTGTACCATTCCAGGCTCGGAGCCTGAAATTCGAAACTTTGGCTCAGTGCACCACTATCAACTGGTGGGAAGATGGCGTGGGCCACTTCTGCGCTTACCGACATTTTTTCATCAATATACCAACCACGCCTCAGTCATAATTCGTTCAGCATGTTTCTGGTGACAAAGGGTAGCTTATAAGCACTTGACTTCGCACTCCAGGATTAATTGCCTGCCAATCATATCACTTCCAGCCGTCTCATGCAAGCACTACTCGCTGGAGTGTTCACCTCCGTCCTGTGATACGTATCACAGCTTAGCCCGTTACATTTCAATCACAATCGCTGGTCTATGGCTGCGCTGTAGAAACAACAATACAATGAGGAACAAAAGAAGCTCCTGACTGTATCTGTAAAAGTTGTAAGGTCGCGCGCTGCCTAGTCTGCGTTACTTGAGAAGCAAGTGCGTTCGACCCTATAGGGGAAGTGAGTGCAGCAAGGATCTAGAAGTGTGCGCTTAAGCGAAGCGCGAGAAAGCGCAGGAGCGCGCAAGGTACAAAGGCGCGGGAACACGCGCGCGTATTAGCGCGAAGCGCGGGAAAGTGCGCGCGCGTATGCGGAAATGAGAAACTAAGCTTAAGTGGTGATATAAAGCAAGATAAGAGATATAAGAGTGCAAAATGTAAAGGAATAGCTTTCTACTATATTCTGCTAAGTAGTAAGTGGGTAGTAACTAGTAAGTGAAAAGTAGGAAAAGTAGGTAAGTAATAGTATGTACTGCTGGCGCTTATATAGCGCGCCTAAGCGCGGTCAAGCGGAGCCGAAGCGCTACCGAGTAGGTATGTAAATATATATATGAGTGAGAATGCATGATAAAAATAAAGGTGGAACTATGCTAATAAAGGAAATGGAAATATACGCACTAGGGAGCTTGGTGGACAGTGGATGGATGCTTCTGGATGGCTGGCGCCATAGGGCGCGCAAGCGCGGGAACGCGCGCGCGCGTATACATCGTGAAGCGCGGGAATGGTGCGCGCATGGCGCGCATTGCGCGGGAAAGCTGCGCGTCATATAGGAATCACTGTGGATGGTACACAGAGTGATGCTGCGAGTTGGTGCTGTATACTCCCTAGTGTAAAGCGCCATATCACACTATGAGATGCACGAGTCTCTACATCTCCCAGGGACTTTAAATTCTGAGTGTCCCCACTCAGCGCGCGCATGGTGAGGATTTTGCGTGATAGTATGTGTGCGCGATGCCTGTATGATGCTTGGGTCGTTGGGCGATGAATGCGCAAGTGCAGGAATTATTGCGTGGATGTGCGTGAAGCGTGGGAAGTTGCGCGCATGGTACGCGCAAGGCGCGAGAATGTGCGCGCGCTATGCGTGAAGGCGCGGGAATGAAGCGTAGCATGGCGAATTGCAAGGGTGACTCTGGTGTGAATAGTGTTCCCTGGGTGTGAGGCGATGATGTGAGAGTGATATGGATGTGGCGCGCATATGGCATAAAGCGCGAGAAAGTGCACGCGCGCAAGGCGCAAGAAAGCGCGTGAGTGTCGCATGTGTTGTATTGTGCGTATGATGCGAAGTGGTGCGGTCCAAGAGCGATCCAATCCAAGTCCAAACCAAGTCCTGCTAGGCGCGCTAAATATTAGGTGGTAAGGTTTGAACAGTGTGAGTAAAACTATATGTGAAAATGCGAAGGAAAAAATGGTAAACTTTGCGGATGTCCTATCCGACTTGTCTTCTTCATGCGGCTGTCGACATCTACACCTTCCTATGAGCGAGGCGCAGGAAGCGCGCATGTGTGCGCGCGCGAGGCGTATGGGCGCGTGAGCGTGGGAAGACTGCGCGCATATGTGCGCGTTCTAAGGTAAAAAGGAGCATGGTGCCGCGTCATGCATGCGAAGAGAAAATATACTATTGAGCTAGGCGGGCACGTTCTATGATTGTTTTTCTTCTATGTTCTTCTAAGTGATTCCTATATGCATATATATCAGCGAGTTATTAGTTCTTTGGATGGCGTTATAATGAGAGAAAATAAAATGAAAGAGCGCTGGATGAAACCCAGGGTAAAACGAATGGTATCCTATGAAACAGCGATGCTATATGTTGTTCTTTCATGCGCGGCTGAGGCGCTTGATCCTCCTCCTTGAGCGCGTGCGAGTGCGCGTGACTAGCGCGCTTCGCGTCTCTTGCGAGCTGACGCTTTACCCAAGGTAGGGTTGGAATGAGCGAGGCTGGCGCGCTTGGGGGGGGCTTGTAACTGGCAGAATGAATTCCTGCACAACGCGCTGCAGATTGAAGGCGCGCCAATGGGAGGCGCTGCAAGGGGTGTAGGGGCGCCCTACAAGCTGATAGGATGCACGCGATGTGCGCGCCTTGGTGCGATTTCGCGCGAATTTAATTATATTGGCCGAACACGCGAGGAACGGCCATTTCTCTGCAAATGCATTAGCGAGAGACATGTATAGTGAAGAATTAGGCGCAAATGTTGCGCCAATGGGCTGTAAGGGTGGTATATCAAGGCGCAATAGGCGCATAGGTGAAGGAGAATAGTGCGCATCAAGGCGCGCAGGAATGAAATTGACATGGTAAGCAAAAGCGCGCAGAATGTGAATAAATGTGGGAAGTGCAAAGTTAAAGATGATGATAGGGGAGTTAGGCGCATATGTATGTGTCAGGCGCGCGCCTAAGTCGCGCCTGGATGGCTGATTGAAATATACTTTGTGTTGAATGATAGAAATGCGGTTTAGAAGGGGAGAAGCGATAGAAATGCGGTAGCGTGAAAACTCTGCTAAAATTATGAGTGCGCAAGGCGCGGGAACGCGCGCGCATATTGCGCGATGCGCGTGATCATGGCGCGTGAATAAGGGGTGGTGCAAAGATGAAGTTACAGTGATTGGAAGCATCATATAGCTCCTTAAGAGCTTTAAACATGAAAGGGACAGAAAACGCGAAACAAGATGAGGAAAAATATACAATGCCTCTAGGCGCGCGCATTGCGCGTCCTCAGGCGCAATATGGTGCGCCTGAGTTGCGCCAGGGTCGCCTGAGACATGCTCTGCTTGGTGGTTGTGCAGCGTGATGCACGGATGTTTTACCGGTGCGCGATAGTCACTGGAAGCAAAAAGCGCGACATGCGCGCAATCATTAGTGACAATTGGAGTTACCAGAGGCAAACTCTGGTTGATGCAAGGTGCAACTTGAGCCTCTGATGCGGTAGGAGGCTCCTCTATAGGCGCGCTAAGGTGCAATAGATGTTTAGGGTCATCCCTGACCTCTAATGATGCGAGCAGTGATGGTGATGGTGCGATTGGCGAGGTTTCTTCCTTAAGCGATGCGATAGCGAGGGGCGAGCGTGTTTCTAGCGGTGCATTAGTGTGCAATAGATGTTTAGAGTCATCCCTGACTACTGGCGAGGTGATAGCGATAGGCGCGCGTGTTTCAACTGGCGCGTTAGTGTGCAATAGATATTTAGAGTCATCCCTGACTTCTGATGCGATTGATGGTGATGGAGATGATGCGGATTGTGAAGGAGATGATGCTGCTGAGGATGATAGTGAAGAGGCGCCTGCAGCGCGCTTTGCGAGCGCGCGTTCGAGTTCGTGATCTAAAGTAATGCAGTCTGATATAGCTTTGCATGCTGGCGCAGTTGATGCTTGAGGTGCGCGTAAATCGCGCGTAGGCGCGGGAAAGGCGCGCGCGCGAGGCACGTGAATAGGAACTGGTGGCTTTCTGTCAAGTACAATATCTGAGGGTGCGCGATAGAAGAGTCCAGCTGTTGCATTAGCGCTAATGGTCGTATCCTGCGTTGCGCGACGCGCGTGGTAGCGATCTTTGTACTTAGCTACCTTAGCTTGCACTGGTGTGCTTGGCGCTACCACAGGTGCGCTAACTGGTGCGCTTACTGGTGCGCTTGGCGCGGGAAAAGCGCGCGCAGGTAATAGGAACTGCGCAGCTGCGAAGATGTCCATGAATGGGTATGGGTCGTATGGATGGTGGTCAGGGAACTTGATCATAAGGCGCAAGCGAATTTGCGCCTGAGCATCGCTAGGGATTCCTTCCATGAATAGGTGGTCGCGTTCGGCCTTTCCAATACGGTCTTCATCCATGAGTGGCTGCATAACCTTCCTGAATGCGCGCAGGTAATTGCTGAGTTCTGTGCAAGAGGTCATTGGTTTGTTAGCGTATTCGTGCGCGATAGCGCGCAAGTCCGCGAGCGCATAGCGTCTTTTACCATCCCATCCAGGATACATTACCTTTACCTCGTCTAAGAAGGCGAAGTAATCGCTTACTTGCGCCTCAGGCATTCCGCCCCATAGTTCTCGATCGTCGCGCTCAAGGTAGCGGATAATACCTTTGATGCGGTCAAGTCCTTGGAGTCCTGCATCATCAGCGAGCTGCTCATAGGTGTCAATAAACTCGGCAAGGTTGTCTGTAGTGCCATCGAACTTGGGCGCGTTTGCTGTGCCGCGGATGGGCATTCTGAAGGGCATTGAAGCGCGTGAAAGGTGCGCACGCAAGGCGCACAGGGGTGGGAAAGCACGCGCGCAAGGCGCGAGAATGCGTGACTAGAAGTTGGTTAGCTTTTGAATATGCAAAGAGATTGACCTTTATGCGTTAAATAGTGTGAAGTGCGAGAAAGGTGCGCGCGCGAGGCGCACAGGCGTGGGAATATTGCGCGCGCGCAAGGCGCGAGAATGCGTGACTAGAAAATGATTAGCTTTTGAAATGCAAAGATATTGACCTGTATGCGCGAAATGCGCGGAACTAGATCTTGCTGACTGCTCCCCTCGCGGTGGGCTCCAGTTGTAGAAACAACAATACAATGAGGAACAAAAGAAGCTCCTGACTGTATCTGTAAAAGTTGTAAGGTCGCGCGCTGCCTAGTCTGCGTTACTTGAGAAGCAAGTGCGTTCGACCCTATAGGGGAAGTGAGTGCAGCAAGGATCTAGAAGTGTGCGCTTAAGCGAAGCGCGAGAAAGCGCAGGAGCGCGCAAGGTACAAAGGCGCGGGAACGCGCGCGCGTATTAGCGCGAAGCGCGGGAAAGTGCGCGCGCGTATGCGGAAATGAGAAACTAAGCTTAAGTGGTGATATAAAGCAAGATAAGAGATATAAGAGTGCAAAATGTAAAGGAATAGCTTTCTACTATATTCTGCTAAGTAGTAAGTGGGTAGTAACTAGTAAGTGAAAAGTAGGAAAAGTAGGTAAGTAATAGTATGTACTGCTGGCGCTTATATAGCGCGCCTAAGCGCGGTCAAGCGGAGCCGAAGCGCTACCGAGTAGGTATGTAAATATATATATGAGTGAGAATGCATGATAAAAATAAAGGTGGAACTATGCTAATAAAGGAAATGGAAATATACGCACTAGGGAGCTTGGTGGACAGTGGATGGATGCTTCTGGATGGCTGGCGCCATAGGGCGCGCAAGCGCGGGAACGCGCGCGCGCGTATACATCGTGAAGCGCGGGAATGGTGCGCGCATGGCGCGCATTGCGCGGGAAAGCTGCGCGTCATATAGGAATCACTGTGGATGGTACACAGAGTGATGCTGCGAGTTGGTGCTGTATACTCCCTAGTGTAAAGCGCCATATCACACTATGAGATGCACGAGTCTCTACAGCGCGCACGAGTTCATCATCCGTGTTGCCAACAAACCGGAGCGCTTATTCCGTTTTATTTGCAACAACAGCGTCCCCGGGTTATGTACTCAAGCATCCTTTCACACCTTTGTATCATGAAGGAACTACGCATACTTGAAGTACTAGACCCGCCGCTTATACTGTATTGCACCATAGGCTCGGTGCACCATTGTCCGCGTATACCTCATCTCCGCCGACACGTGTCTCACCTTCTCGACAATCATCCAGGGTCATGATGTTTACGCTGGTATTGCGTCATCAAGCAACCATTTTCGGGCGAACTTGCAATCAGAGGCATCGTGAAGCTATCACAAGGCCGCATGATGTCTTACGAAGGTTGTGGGAGAAGATATTTGTATATGACTGTCTGTTTGCATGGCCGGACACGTTGCATTGACAAAATGGATAGCTTCAGAAATGGAAGAAGCTATCTGCGCATTTTTCCATCGCCTATCTCCATCAGTTACTGACGCCGTCTGACTTCATCATGGATGAATGGTTCGTGAGGGCGTAGACCCGCCGTCCCTTACCAATCCGAGTGATAAATACATAAGCCGTTCCTCCGGTTTTGAGGCTCAACCCGGGCGCGTCACTTGGCATTCCTTGCTTGATGACCACGCCGCCCTTGCTCATCTCTTGCTCATCTTCTGCTAATAGCCGACCATGTCAACACTCACCGTTCTTACTTTGCAGTACCTTTGTCTTGCTAGCGTCGGAGTGTATCTGGTGAAGCAGGTAATATTCGCCAAGAAGAATCGCGCACCATATCCTCCTGGTCCTCGGGGCCTGCCTCTGGTTGGGAACCTTCGAGACATGCCTCATGTCAAGCCCTGGCTCACATTCACTGAATGGGGCAAGAAGTATGGTAAAACCTTCCCGTTTTTCCAAAATCATGCATTTTAACGTCCTTGTGCGCAGGTGATATTTCGCATATCAGTATTCTGGGTATGCACATCGTCGTGCTGAACTCCGTCAAAAGTGCGGAGGAAATGCTAGACAAGAAGAGCTCTATATACTCTGACCGTATGGTCGTTCCTATGAGTGGCGAACTGATGGGCTATTCGCAAACTATGGGTTATCTTCGTTACGGTGAACGCTTTCGCTCGTTCCGCAAGAATTGCCACCACATCTTTGGCAATCGCGCTGCCTTGGTTGACTACCACCCCATCGAGGAGATGGAGGCCCACCAATTCCTGAAGCGTGTACTAGCAAAACCCGACCAACTGCGAGCACACATTCGACAGTATGTATTTTGTAGTACTACTATTGGCTTGATCTTGAATTCTTATAGCACCGCTGGCGCTGTCATTCTGTGCCTTTGTTATGGTTACGAAGTCAAGGAGCATGACGATCCTCTCGTTAACATGGCGAAACGCGTTTTAGAACAATTCTGTCGGTATGGCCCCTTTGGTGAATTTATGGTCGACTTCCTGCCATTCTGTAAGAACATAACATTTCGACGTTCTCTCAATAGCCTGACTATGTTCTAGTGGCAAAGGTCCCAGAGTGGTTCCCTGGTGCTGGCTTCAAACGCCTAGCCCGTGAGTGCCGCGAGACCGCCGAAGAGGCGGCTGCTGCACCCTACATCTTTGTAAAAGATCAGATAGTAACTAAGATTTTTAGTTTTCCCGCTACGCCCTATTGATCGAAATCTACAGGCTGCTGGCATTGCCCCGAAATCTTTTGTCTCAGATTTGTTCAAGGACCATACTTTGACTGCGGAAGAGGATTACGTTGTGAAGTGGTCTGCTGGATCTCTATTCAGCGGTGGTTCCGACACAGTTCGTGTAGTCGAAACTATCACGTTTTTAAGCTAACACTTGTTTGCTCAGACTGTTTCTGCGAACTACTCTTTTTTTCTGGCTATGACACTTTTCCCTGATGTGCAGAAGAAGGTTCAGGCTGAAATTGATGCTGTTATTGGCCCTGATCATCTTCCCTCCTTCGCCGATCATGCCTCCCTCCCCTACATCGAGGCACTTACCAAGGAGGTCCTCCGCTGGAATGCCGTCGTACCTATTGGTATGTGTATCTCATTTGTCGCAATCTGACTTGACCCACGGTGCGCGATGTCAGTTGAACACAGCGTCACCGAGGACGACATCCACGATGGGTATTACATTCCAAAAGGTTCTTTGATACTCCCTAATATATGGTTTGTACCTTCCTCATTGCATATCCACTGTATCAACGCTTTGAATTGTGACAGGTTCATGCTCAATGATCCGCAGACATATACCAACCCCTCGGAATTCAATCCTGAGCGCTTTTTGACCAAGGATGGAAAAGAGCCTGAGGCAGATCCTCGCAAGGCATGCTTCGGTTTTGGTAGACGGTAATGATTAAGTCGCTGTTATATTTCTCAGTGAAATGCTAAGGTTCTGTTCCTCAGGCTCTGCCCAGGTATGCGCAACTGACAGGGCGCTGACTGACAAGACATTTTTCTGACCTTGGTTGCTTTTGACTGCACAGGTCTGCATCTCGCTGATGCATCCATCTGGATATGCGCCGCGATGTCACTTGCGGTGTTTGACGTTTCCAAGGTTGTCGAAAATGGCGTTGAAATCACCCCTGAAATTGACCCCTCATCCGGGTCGATCAGGTATGTTGTGTATCTTAATATGACCGTGACCACGGTGCTCTGAACATACGTACTCGCAGCCACCCCAAGCCCTTTAAGTGCTCGATCAAGGCTCGCTCTGAAAAAGCCTTGGCGCTCATTCAAGAAGATACTTACTAAGTATTGCTAACCACCGGTCAAACCAAATATTAAATGTGTAAATCTAGTAGTCAAGTAAACCGCTATGTACCATTTTGGCCCGAGCCGAGGTAGTGCGAAAGTTATATAAAACACAGCAACACAGTGCCGATTGCAGCCTTGCCACACAAGTAATAAATTTAACCTACGCCACACTTTAAGCGTTTTTTCTCACTGTTAGTGAGCTCGCATGAGAAAACCTTTAAATAACGCCAAAACCATGTGCGCAACACATGGCTCTTAGATGCGCAAACCACACGAGCTTGCGAGACCCTCCTCCCCCGTCCTCCTTTACTTTATAGGTGAAACAAATTTCCCGAGGTAAGTATGTGACACATGCTTATATTTAGCGGGAGCAGAATTAGATCCGTCTCAATTGCCACAGCTACAATGCCGAGAACTCATAGGTTCACTGATGCGGTGCCCTAGGTGTCTATGAAAATAAGGCATGCTGGCAGCATAAAATGCACAATACAGGCATCTCAAAAATACCCTTGATTCCTCCAAAGTCCACCTGGACCGCGCCCGACCCCATCAACCTCCGGCAAAATGCCGAAGCTCATTGAAATCACTACACCTTTGCGAAAGTTTAAAGCCCATGGAGATGGCATAAGGGCAGTCGCGGTGTTCCCCGATGGACAACGGATGGTTACGGGATCGTACGATAGGACACTTCGTCTGTGGGACTTGAAGACAGGCGTTATGTTGAAGAAGATGGAGGGACATCACAGTGAGGTGTGGGGATTGGCAGTATCACGAGATGGGCGATTGATAGCAAGCGGTGATTTTAACGGAGAGGTCATTATCTGGCACGGAGAAACTGGCGAGTCACTCACCCAAATGATCGAAGCCCACTCCGATTGGATCTCCTCGCTAGATTTTTCTCCTGGTGGATCAGTGCTGGCCACTGGTTCATGTGACGGGATGATGAAGTTGTGGGACACCAAAACCTGGCAGTTGCAAGGAAATAGTAGTAGTGAAGTCCGTTGCGTACGGTATTCGCCGTCCGGAGAACTTCTTGCCATCGCAGCAAAAGACATTATCCACATTTATAATCCAGGCACGAGAGAATGTATCGCATCCTTCAAGGCTCACACAAAATCCAACTTGTCACTTGCATGGACACCAGATGGCACACGCCTTCTCACAGGTGGCGGTAGTTCTGATCCCACCATACGCGAATGGGATACAACAACCTGGCAGCAGGTCGGTGATCCCTGGATGGGCCATTCTAGCCAAATCAATGCCATTGCCGTTAATCCTGCTGGAAAACTCGTCGCATCCGCATCTCATGACAATCATGTTGGTCTCTGGCGGCTCTCTGATCGACGAACCGTTGCTACCTTCAAGCACGCATCCTTCACGAGTTGCATCACTTTCTCAGTGGACGGTAGTCACATCCTCAGTGGAGGTGGCGATTGGATGGTCTCGGAGTGGGCAGTACCTCAGGGTATCAATCCGAAGGCATGTTTTCGTCTTTGACGTATATACCGTAATTCGAGCATGTTTCGTACAGATCCTAGCCATCACAACAGCCCGTGATGCATGCATAGATGGGCACCTATCTACCGCTGAAGAACTGCTCACGCAAGATATCAACACTGATGCCAACCACCATACTTCCTACGCCCATCGCTCATTCGTGATGGCCCGACAACACAACTGGGACTGCGCCCTTCAGGACGCAATCAAGGTGAGTTATATGCACTGATCATGCCCCCCTTACAAAAGGCTAACTCGATGGTGACATAGTCCATCAGCATTCAGCCCTCATTGACAGGCTACATCTCCAAGGGTATTGCCCTCTGCGGAGAAGGTCGCGTCCCGGATGCGAGGGCAGCATTTGATGTTGCATCAATGTACACGGACCAGGACTCACAAATCCTCCATTTCCTGCTCTTGATCAAAGTATGTTACATTTACCTCCTTATACTTTCTACTTCATCGTGTATTTCAGGCCATTGCCCTTTTCAATGCAGACCAACATGACGAAGCAAACCTGCTCCTCAAAGAACTCGCTGCTGGCTGTCCAAGTGCCGATACTCTCGCATGTTGCGTCGTGCAAGTAAGTATCATCTGTAGGTCACCAACACTAATCTTTGCAACTCGACTGACATGTTAGGCATATATGCGTCTTCAACTCGGAATCAAGGCCTTGGATGGCGTACGTCACGAAGAAGCCGCTGACCATTTCACTGCCGTTCTCAACTCCAGCGCTCTCTCATGGAGTTCACCCATTCATCTTATGTACGAGGACTTGGTAGTGGTAGGTGAATACAGATCCGACATTCTTTTCATAACTGAGTCCCTTGTCCAGCTATTTGGCTGGGATCTCAAATCGTTGCGGCTTACTGCATACCAGAAACAGTGCCAGGCTTTCCTTTACGCAGGCAGAGTCGATGAAGCACTCGAATCACACAAATTTATGATGGACAACGTTGACGAAATAACAAAGGCCAGCTGCCTTGACTGGTCCGCTGGCAAGTCTTCAGTGTTATCACCGGAGGTTATAGTCCTCACCCACATTTCACTCAGCTTTCAAGCAAGAATATAGCACCCTCTTTCTTACCAACGGAGATACTGCCCTCGCTGCAAGCGACTATGACAGGGCTATTGACCTCTACTCGGCAGTGATTGACATGAATTCTGCATCTTATGCCATCTTTGTAAAGCGCAGTGAGGCAAGGTTGGGAAAGATGCTATGGACGGAAGCACTTCTTGATGCGCAGAAGGTGCGATCGCATTTATCGCTCTTAACCTATACTTATCATGGTTACACCTAGGTCACCGAGCTCAACTCTTTATCTCATGTCAGATACAGTTTGGAGTATGCAGCGCTTCATGGTGCACAACGCTATGATGAAGCGATGCAGGCATTCGAAGTCATGCTTTCAAAATTAGATAACGCTCCTGACAATGAGACACGAAGTAAGCCTCAGAGCTCGTGCATCGACACCCCTTGACTATTTCTGCAGAGTTGCGCCAGCAGTATCTCAGTCCATCCCAAGTAGACCGTGCTATTCAAAAGATCATCGATGCTCAACTTGACAATGCTCCGCTGCGTGTAATCGACACTACCAACGGTCTCTTATGCGATCGAGAGACGCAGATACTCACCTTCAAAACGAGCATAGAGTATAAGGAGCTTGTATCATCAACAATCGCGCATCGAGATGTCCAGATGAAGCATGTCGAAGAAGTGGTGACGACATACTTCCAATATGTCATGCTATCGCACAGATGGGAAGGCAATGAGCCGCTGCTGCAGGATATCCAGGGCAAGGACGTCTATAACTTAAATCCAGTTGGTGGCATCAAGAAGTTGCAGTCCTTCTGCCAAACTGTCCGTGATTTCGGGTGTCGCTGGGCATGGAGCGATACATGCTGTATCGACAAGAGCAACAGTGTTGAGCTTCAAGAATCGGTCAACTCTATGTTTGTCTGGTATCATCACTCCACGCTCACAATCGTATATCTCTTGGATGTTTCACCTTCGTCAAAGCCTGGCGCACTGAAAAAGAGCGCTTGGAACACCCGCGGATGGACAATTCAAGAATTCCTTGCCCCCAATGCCATTATATTTTACCAGCAGGATTGGACTCCTTATCTCGGCGATCGCACTCCCAACCACAAGGATTCCATCACGATCATGCAGGAGTTGGAGGATGCGACAGGGATAGATCAACGAGCTGTCGTGGCCTTCCGTCCCGGGATGAGAGATGCCTGAGAGAAACTTCAGTGGGCATCAACACGTGTTACTACATTCCAAGAAGACATTGCATACTCATTATCTGGCATCTTTGGTGTCCGCCTACGTGTTGATTATGGCGAGAAGAGGCAGAACGCGCTCGGGCGGCTCCTGCAGGGAATCATAGCTCAGTCTGGTGATATTACTGCCCTGGACTGGGTCGGAAAGTCGTCTGAATTCAATAGCTGTTTACCAGCCGACATCACTTCATATGAAGCTCCACCATGCAAACTACCATCTCTATCTGAAGATAAGATTCAGTCATTGGTCTCCTCACTGCAAGGTGTTGTGGCTCTACAGTCGGTTTCGGAATTATACCAGACCCTTGACTCCCTGAGCGCTCCCCGTTTCGCGCACCGCCGGTTGCATTTGCCTTGCATCGTATTCCCGGTCACAGAAGTCAAGCGGAGGCCAGCTCATGACCAGGATATATATACGTATGAACTCAAGTCAGATGGGCTTCGCAATCTGCAGGTCACCACAGAGGACAAGTTCACCCCTTTCTCACCGGCAAGGCTGCTGCCCACCTGGCAGACGATATTGCTCGTTCGTCCTTGGAGTCGCTATCTCCTCGGGCTGCATGACACTGCGGACAACACGCAGAGCGTGGACAACTGGCCTGTCTCTGAATCTTTGTTGTACAATCCACCCGCTGCACAAACTGGGCTGATTAATTCAGATTGCGACTCGCGAGCGTTGCGGTTGATTATTCACCTTGGACAGCCCTTTGGTGCATTTTTGTTAGTGCGACAGCGTGAAGGAGAATATAAGAGGATCACATCGAATGATGATATCATTGCACAGGTTAAAGACATCACTTCTATTAGCTACTTAATGAACATCAAGACACTAGAGGTACTGTAGCTGCTCAGCACATTACTTAATCTAAGAAGTAAAGTACGACGGTTTTCGGAAACGTTCGCGCGCTCGCGTGGCTTTCGCGTATTTCGCGTATTTCGCTTACCTCGCTTAAACCTGTTTTTGGAAATCTCGCGTGGTTTTCTCGCGTGGCTTTCGAGCGCCGACTCACTTGCCCATTAGAGCAGCGCACTACGCAATACAAGTATTTTCCTTATTGTAATGTAATTGTTTATGTTACATGCATACAGTAAATAATAAAATTGAAAATGGAACAACATGATATAATTTTGCAGACAGGGGGACAACAAATATATGTGGTGACAGGAAATGAATGAGAAAAGGTTGTGAAAAAATAAATAAAAAATAGAGAAAG